TTTTTTGTGTGTGTATTTTCCAGGTTGTCTGCTATGTAGACAAAATGTCCCGCTGTTTTTCGTTCAGGCTATTATTTATTGATTTTTGCTAACTTTCATTCTGGGTCATTTACTTTTATTTAAATGTTACTTTGTGTTGTTTTATTGTTAAAATGTTACCTTTATGAAATTGTCAGTCACAGTTGATAATATTAAATAGTTGTTGCTAAACATGAACACTGTTCAGGTACATTTATTTGTTCTTGGCATGCTTATTTTTTAACTAAAGCTTTATTATCCCCCGCCGAAAAATTTCGGCGGAGGATATAGAAATAGTCTCCGTCCGTCCGACCTTCCGTCCTTCCGTCCGTCCGTCCTTCCGTCCGTCCTTCCGTCCGACATTTTTGTCCGGAGCATATCTCTAAAAGTATTTGAGTTATCAACTTGAAACTTCATAGGTGGATAGACCTCATTGAGGAGGAGTGCAGTGCACAAGAATGATAACTCTACCTTGCATGATTTTTGAGTTATTGCCCTTTGTTATTTTTCAAAATTGATTTTTGTCCAGAGCATAACTCCAAAAGCCTATGAGATATTAACATGAAACTTCATAGGTGCATAGATCTCACTCAGGAGGTGTGCAGTGCACAAGAATGATAACTCTACCTTTCATAATTTTTAAGTTATTGCCCTTTATTTTTTATACCTAATTTTTCACCTGAATGGAGCATAACTCAAAAAGTGTTTGAGATATCAACATGAAATGTCATAGGTGGATAGATCTTATTGAGGAGGAATGTTGTGTGCAAGAATGATAACTCTTCCCTATACAATTTTTGAGTTATTGCCCTTTGTTTTTTTTCATGCTATTTTGTCCAGAGCTTATCTCAAAAAGTATTTGAGTTATCAACTTGAAACTTCATAGGACGATAGACCTCATTGAGGAGGAGTGCAGTGCACAAGAATGATAACTCTACCTTGCATGATTTTTGAGTTATTGCCCTTTGTTATTTTTCAAAATTGATTTTTGTCCAGAGCATAACTCCAAAAGCCTATGAGATATTAACATGAAACTTCATAGGTGCATAGATCTCACTCAGGAGGTGTGCAGTGCACAAGAATGATAACTCTACCTTTCATAATTTTTGAGTTATTGCCCTTTGTTATTTTTTATACCTAATTTTTCACCTGAATGGAGCATAACTCAAAAAGTGTTTGAGATATCAACATGAAATGTCATAGGTGGATAGATCTTATTGAGGAGGAATGTTGTGTGCAAGAATGATAACTCTTCCCTATACAATTTTTGAGTTATTGCCCTTTAGTTTTTTTTCATGCTATTTTGTCCAGAGCTTATCTCAAAAAGTATTTGAGGTATCAACTTGAAACTTCAAAGGTGGATGGATCTCATTGAGGAGGAGTGCACTGCACAAGAATGATAACTCTACCTTGCATAATTTTTGAGTTATTGCCCTTTGTTCTTTTTCATACTTAATTTTTCAATTCAATTTTTTTCTCAAAAGTATTTGAGGTATCAACTTGAAACTTCACAGGTGGATAGATTTTACTGAGGAGGGATGCAGCACACAAGAATGATAACCTACCCTGCATTATTTTTCAGTAATTGCCCTTTGTTATTTTCAGCCATCAGTATTCACATAGGTTTCAAATCTGTAATCACTATAGCCATCAGTTTTCATTACCAAAAGACCTCTTAAAATGAAATTATTCTGCTCTACTACATATACATTCTTCCAATGAGCAAACACATTCGGCGGGGGATGGCCATGTTGACATGGCTCTTGTTTTACAGTGCAATGTGTTTTGTTTTGAAAATTTGTGTTTAATAATTAAACTATATTAATTTGTGTTTTCAGTTAGTAATATTGTTGTTGTTTCTGTTATTCCATTAAATAATTTGTATGTCAGTGAATGAATATTATCTGTAAACAAATAAAGAAGACAAACAGTTTTAGTGTAGGGTGAGGTATCGTCATGTTAATATCACTTGCCTCACAATGCTGGGGTTCAAATATGGTCATGTACTTTGCATCCTTTCCTATGAGGAAGCTATCCATTTAGCCCTCGGAACAGAAGTTGTTCTGCCCAGGTGCTTGTTTGGGTCTGAAATAATGCACCTAAGTTAAAACATTAGTTATAGATAGTGACCCTGAGAAAATTTGGTCTTTTGATTATCTGGCCCGGCTTTCACTAACGTTCTCAAACTGAGACAAATCTCAGTTTCTGAGTTGAGAATATATCTCGGATTTGAGCTGATATTTTGACTTTGAGAACGTTAGTTAAAGCCGGGCCTGTTCTGTAAACATAATTTCCTTATTAGACATTGAAACTTAACACCGGATGATGTAGACAAACCCTGAAGATTTTCCAAAGAACTCAAAAAGTATATTATGGCATAAGTGAATGGCCAGAGCCCTTCAAAAAGTAATGGCATACTTCTTGTTGCGTTCTTACCGGTAGGGGACTTTTGTTTAGCTTGCAATACTTAACTATTTGCTTTACAAAAGCTCTCAGCACTACATTAATTTACATAACCTCATTAATTTACATTACGTCGTAAATTTACATTATGTCGTTAATTTATATTACGTCGCTTATTTACATTACGTCGAGGCATTGAAATTATTGTTCAAATAGATTGATTTTTTTTAAAAAAACGCCACACAAACGTCAGTCATTTTAAACAAGCTTAGTGATATTATTCTGATATTTTACATTATTTTCATGTTATAAAAACGGGAAAAAAAAGTTGAAAATCTCTTCTATAATTATAATGATGTTATTATTAACCTAGAAGATCAAAGATAGTACAATTAGAAAGAAATCAAACAAATTCCACCATGAAAACTTCCTCCCATACCTCCGTCTTTCGTTAGCAGCACTTAAATAAATATAGACCCCAGCATTGTATTGTTCACTATACAACAGAAAATTGATTTTCCTGTACTTAGTCGAACATGAAGTTCGAAATTGTTCTTCATTTAGCTACAATTACACGCGATATTTACATTTACCACGCTGTATATCTTTAATGGACATGTCCATCTTTCAGTCTGGACAAAACCATACATTATACTTAGGTAAGTTCTCACTGGATAGATAACAGTGCAGACCATGTTTCGGCGGCACGGATATGCCGGCTGATCTTGGTCTGCACAAGTTGTATGGATTTAAAAGGTTGCCGATTTGATATACTCAACCTTTTTGCACGTTCTGTTTATATTGTGGATCTGATTACGAATTTATGACAACATTATCAAGACTAGACTTGATAAACAACTTAAATTGTCACCCTCATTTGAAGGTGCTTAAAAAACGTTTAGCCGATCTAAATCGTTCTTTAGAATATTGTGAAAAGCACGAAACCAAATTTACTCGAGTGGGAAGACCCAAGTATGAGATAGGATACGTTTTGATAGATCAACCATTCAATTAATGATCTTCAAATTTCTTATTATTTCATTCTTACATCTATATAAACCAGATCGATATTTTGAAAATCATCGTTGCGTTTGTACATAAGATGTTTTATATTTATTTGAAAACGTTTGTAGAATAATTTGGTCCCTTTTTAAATGCTCGAAAATCGGATCATTTGATAAATCCGTGCAATTATAAACTTTCTTTTGTGTCAGTAAACTTGTTAAACTTAAAAAGAACATTTTATACATGACCATGAATACTGATAATCATGAATACTTTCAATATCAATAAACTTCAGTTATGATCTGGGTATTAATAACTTAAATTTTGTTGATATCATTATATAACCGCTTTAAAGATTGAAAGCGATATGTTATTTTTACATCAGAAAAAAATTAATCACTTTCCCCTTTTTCAAAACTGTATGAAATATCCATAAAAGATATTTTATTAAAAGGAAAATGTATTTTGTAATTTCTACATTAGTCTCAGAATAAGATTAAAAAGTTTCATTTAAAGTTGATTACTTTCTGTAGCTTTAATCAACATTTCATCGCCAGGTATTAAAAAAGTAGACTTCTTTGAGATTAAATCATCAAAAAGATCTAAGTTTTTAATAAGCTTGAGAAATATATTGACGTCATTTGAGAGCACCTGGCAGCGGTGTGGAGTAGTGTTTACATGTTTTATTTATGACTTACTATAGGTTTGAATGATTTCAACTAGTATCAACGATCTATTGGTATAGTCTATACTGTAAGATAGACTATCAGAGAAAATTGACACTTTTCATTGAAATAACATTTACTAAAGTAACCAACTCAAGTATGTTAGATGTAAAGGAGTCTAACCAGTGATTTGTATCATAGTTTGGAGACCTTTCTGTTGAAAATGTGTCAGGGTTAAATCGTTTACATATACATGCACAGTGCGTTAACTGGAGTGCGGGTATTAGTTACCCGCACTCCAGAGCATGCCCATTGATTGGCTCATTTTTGCTGGGGTTTACATATTGTGACGGCAGTGAAAGTGAAATCGACAGAAATGTCATATTTAGATGCTCGTTCATTGGTTCATTTTTGCCGGGGTTTCATATTGTAACAACAGGGAACGTGTTTTTATGTTTGAGTATGATACAAAAGAGAAAGAACACCAAAACACTCGGTAATCTGATTAATACTCGGGGGGCTACGCCCCCTCGTACAAATCAGATAACCTCGTGTTTCGGTGCTCTTTCTATTACTTATACTTCCTTCACCCACGTAAATTACCCAATATACTAAGCATTTTGATAAAAACGAAAAAAAAAAAATATACAAAAATAACAACATATCATTAAATTTCAAATCAATTCTAATCGAACACATGTAAATACGAACTGAATACAACATGCGCTTTTGATATAATTATGTAATGTTTAGTTATTAAAAATATGTTTGAAGAACGTCCTTATCCGTTAAAAAGTTACATTGATAATAAAATTAATCGTAAGAATAGATTAAGAACATCTATTTAAATCAGGATTTGTAAATTTCACCGTCATTGTAAATGATTTAAGTCTTTGAAACTATAAGAATTCCATTCATGGGGGTATAATATCATTTTCTACTACGATACAATATTGGGTTTCACTGTTCTGAAAGTAAATACGTTTAAACAAGCCAGTTTGTAATTATATATTCGTGACCAGCGTGGTGGTCAATAATAAACTTTGGATGGTTACAATGAATGGAATAATTATTGAACGTTGTAGTTTTAAGTTAAATTGAAGTTATAGGTATGATATAATTATTTTTCTTAAAGATTTTCGTTGTCAAATAGTAACGGAGGAAAATTTAATTTATCAATAGTTATATATATTAGCTATGGCGAATGTACTTTTGACAGTATCGTAATGTATTGGCTAATAGTTTGGATAAGGTAAAAACCAAAGATCACAGAGTTTCGTAATGTATGAAAACATTGACTTAAACTTAACAATACGTTGAATTCATTAAAATAGTGATAGACAGAAAATTGATGAAAAACAGATTCTAGTCGCGTAGCATATATGTCTGGGTTTGTGTATATATTGAAATAAATATTTTGAAATGATTTCAGATAAAACTAATTTGGAAAAAAGAAACAGCTAGATATAATGAGAAAAATTATGGAAACAGATGGACAACTACCACTTGTGAAATTATCCATAAAGTAAAGACGCTTTCAGAAGGAAATTATTGGAAGCGGATTTTATAAAGTTTTAAAGATTTTATTTTAATCCGTTGAAGTATCATACAGATTCATATAAAATCTGATTGGCAGCGCTCATTAGTATATGTTACAGAACGTTCTTCAGTCCCTTTATTATATATATCTCCGCCGGGATGTATCTAAACAGTTTCTATTGTATTTGTCGTCTGTCATGGTAGGAATTAATGGATTACTCTTCTCAAACTACAGAACGACCGTAAATTAAGATGTCCGCTAGCTATTGCTACATTCATGCAATTTTAATGGTTTAATTCATTGCGTGTTCCAGTCGAGTTGATAAATAAAAATGCAGGGTTTATTGGCACGTCTAAAGAGTGTTCGCGACCAGAATTCCGAGTGTGATGTACCGCAGAGAGACGGCATTCAAGGAATAAAAAACCACTTTACGCTGAATAAGTTCATAAATCATGCTGGGCCAATTGACGCGGGCAATAAAATTATATCTAATGGGACGACAGTAGATTACAGTGATGATACAGATTTGGAATTTGATACAAGAGGAACTGATGATAACAACGTAGAAATAGAAATAATTATGGCAATGAATAAAACAACTAGCAAAGTGCGAAATAGAAACAGCGTAACGAGTCCGAGACAAATTGCTAAAAGTACAAAGTCTCGCGGTGGATCAAGAGTGTCTTTAAGTAGTGTTGCACTTAGTGAAAAAGACGACTTGGATACTTTAAATCTAGATTCAGATGACGAAGTGTTAACTTCTCAGAAAACAGAAAGATATAACCCATCTCAAGCATGGGCAGCATTTGAAAATTGTGTGAAAAATATTGATAATAGTAGTCCAGAATATTTTGTGAAGAAACCAAAACCAAATTTTGTTTCTAGTGGAACTTTCCAAAAAGTAATGGTAGACATGTATGGTAATACAGAATATGGTAATACTAAGGGATATACTCTTTTAAAACAAAAACTTAACAACATGGCACGATCAACGATGCTGGCGTCACGTATGATGCATGCGGCAGTAGAAAAGGGTCAAGAAGAGAGAGAACTTGAAGAATTAAATGCTGAAGAGAGCGTAGATGGTACTATAAATGATTCTAGTTGCGAACCGGAAAGTGTTACTAAAGTGTTTGCAAAAAGAGGTTGGAAAATTCTTAAAAGAGAGGTGAACGAAACAGCTATGGAACAAAAGATACAATCGACGAAACTAAATTGGACAATGCTGCAGCATACTTTAAAACAAATGAGTAATGTTGAAAGAACAAGGCAGGATTTATACGAACGGTACGGTATTGTGCCGACCACGTTGCCTGATGGAACGACTGTATGTGAAAACCGGATGTTAAGTGAACGCGCTCGTGCTCAAATTTATGGTAGGAATAAAGAGGGAAGTGACAACAAACGACCCTTGAGTTACCAGCCTCCCCCAGTTCACTTACGGTCTAGATCGCAGACCGGGTATCAAAAGATTAACAGAGACGGTGCTAAAAGCGCAAAATTGCCCAACGTTGGCCGGGGCAGACTTAGACCACTGACCGCTAAACCGTAACGCTTTTTATAATCTTGTATACATTGTACAAACCGATGGATATAATGACGTCAAAATATTGACAAGTGTTCATTTTAACTTGATATTATTTAGTATGTTTAGACCTTCATTCGAAAGTTGTGCTACCAAAGTGCTTTTATGAAAGTATTTTTCATTCTTGCTTAAAGGCCCAATGTAGAAATGCTTTTATTTTTATTTTTCAAACGCTTTTTATTTTTGGTGTCCTGTTTTAGTAAGCAAAAGATAACTACCGGTATATGGCCAATTATCTGCGCCATCTTTTGATGTTGCTTTTAGAAATTAATAAAGTTATATTAATTTGGTATTTTGTATGGAAGTCAAAAAACTATGTAATTTATTAACATTTTGTTAGATTTATGACAAATAGTTTTATGTTCAGCATTTCTTTCTTTATGTGATAAACCTGTAAGATGCTCTAAAACTCTTATTTGAACATTAAAAAACTCATGTCTGCCCTTTCTCAAGAAAAAAAAAACTTATTTGTTTTTTTTTAGGCATAATGTGCCTTTAATGCAGAATTCGGGCCTGGTGGCTCCTTTGATTAAATCGAGCGCACATTGTTACTTTAGTATGCTTAATTTATCATGAAGTTGTATATTATTTTGCAATATTACATTTTCATAAAAGAACGAAAATCATTTGTAGCATTGTGTGAGAAACAACAGGTTACAAAATCGATTTTGTCACTAGATACAATAGTTTAAATAGCTCTGTACAAAGTTAAATAATTGTTTATTTATATAAAATATACTGTATCATACTGAAATATAGACCGCTAGAAGTCGCTTTATTATTTTGTGCAATCCTTCATTATTGTACAAAGTAACTTATTCGTTAGTCAAAATAAACGATAGATTTTAAAAACAATAGTCTTTCAGTTCATGTTTTACTTGACCTATATCTAAACTACAATATAATAGTTGCTAATGAATCTATTGTAGTTTGAACTAAAGATTTCATGGGAATAAGAAATCTCGTGGGAACTACGACATATATATTTCATAAACAGTAATATTGTCGGAACTTAAAAAAGCTCTATATTGTTATAAATTATAAAATTATTTTGGAATATCAATAACTTTTTCAAAGACTGTACTATTTTTCAAGACTACGTTTATCGATAAAGAAACAAAAGTTTGTCTTCGGTAATTTCTCGCATTTCACTTTTACAAAACCTTGTTACTTATTTAAGTTTAGCAGAATATTCTTACTTTGCAAATAAAAAATTAAAATTTATTTTAAGTACGAAAAAATATATATATCATTCATAACCATATATCATAAATTTTTGTCTTTTTTGCTAAATGGTATAATGTTTCATATAAATTACGTATGTAACTATATTTAAGGTAAGATCAAGTATTTAGGATAATCTAATGCTGGACATTAGGTCTCGTTGATCATGTAACATATATAAATATGGTAAATTGTAGAAGCTTATATATTAAAATGATGTAAGATATAAGACGAACATGCTGTAAAACCGCTTTTCATAAAACGGTAAATATAGAAAATATCCTTATTATGTTTTCAGATACATTAACTATTAATCCTCTCTGATGGAATCAGTGCCCTTAAATCTCTACATTATCTTAATCTGTTTATCTTACAAAGGATTTAGTTGAGGGATTAATCTTCATGATCTATGTACAAATATCAATACGGATAATAGTTATGTTTCAACACTAATGAAGATATGTTCAGATAAAGACATGTGTATTAAAATTATAGATCAAAATTAAAATCAGATAACAGTACATTTATTCATCGCAGTGTCCCATTATTATTAATGTTTTAAATTAAGTGCTTATGTTTGACATATCATATTTCTAGTAAAATGCATAAACTATGTAAATTGATCAAGCATATTTCGCTAAATACGCGTGATTGACTGTTTTAGCTGGTTTTTAAGTATTTTTTTTTTCTTCAAAATATGTAATATTAACCTTTAAACGAGTTCCACAACGAATAAAGATTCTTGTATCTGGGAATTCAGACAATACGTAGACAAATACAAGACTTGAACATTAATTTGCTGGCCTTATTTTTTCGTGACACCCATTTTAACTAGCTAGTCTACATCAATGGCTAGTCTAGCAATGTTGTTATGATAAAAATGGTCATAAAATATGAATGACAAGCTCTTTATATTAAGTTATGATCTTTGAGTGTTTGATGTTTTGTATGATGAAGTATGGGTGTACATAATAATAAAACTATAGTTGTAGTACTGTCCCAGTCTGATTGTCATCTATAAGTACTTTATTTACAGACGACAGAAAGCTTGATCGTGATGATATCATCGAATTTATTATGAAATATTAAAATATTCACAAGATTGAATTTTTCTTGAACTACAAAAGGTATATAAATCTATATAAAGATATAAAACATGGATCTTGTGATATAATTCAAATCAAAATGATTATTATTATGTTTCTAGGATGTTCAATTGAATTTGATAGTTGGATTTCAATTAAGTTGTAAAATGTACAACAATCTTCAAACTTATTTAACAGAAGAAAAGACAGCTGCCCTGACGAGCTGATTAACCTATCTATCCTCGTGAAAGAAATTCAATATATTCTAAACTCATGGTATATGAAACTATTGACAATTAGCTATATTTCACCTTCCCTACCTAATCGGAACAAAGACTGACCAAACAAAAAAGAAAGAAAAAATAGAAGAAAAGACTGCGTTCCCGTTAATGGGTATACAAGCAATCGTAACTTTTCGGTCCTTTCCGTCAAACTTGTTATAAAGATAGCCGAGGTATATATACAGGCAAACGTAATACAATATGAGGGAACGGAACACCAGCATAAATACCCTATGATCTTCGTGCTTGATGTAGCAAGTAAATAAATACAGAACACTTAAATTGCAATCTGTTGTTAAAACAATTTATCATGTTAAAGTACCTGATGAAATTACATGTTGGCTCACTTTGTATAGTGGGTTGTAAAATACAATGGACGAGAAGGCCGTGTGTAAATCTTCATTCAGAAATATCCCGAATAAGAGCTCTTGAAATACAACCCAAATAATTGGAAACATTATTATAATCATGAAATTCATCTACTCTAAGTTTTAAGATATCGATCTAGTTTCTACTCTGGGGTTAATCCGGTATTTTAGGTGGTGACTTTTAGAGGAAAGTGGATATATCAGGCTTAGCTCTGATTATGAAAAGTTAATTTGACATTGTAAAGTTTCCTCAATCACTTTTCTTATAAATGAAGTTTTAATTTCAAGTGTTATTGCCAATGTCGTTTAACTTAACCTTTGCCATTTCCTATCCAATTATTTAGGCATAAAAGGTAAATCGTAAAAGTATTTAAAATATCAACATAATCGTAAAGTGGTTTTATAGTATACCAGTAAACAGTTTCTCTACAATTTCATCAGTGCAAAAACTCGTTGTAAAGTTTATTATGACAAAATAGTCTTAGATTAAAAATTATACAAATTGATGAAAATAACTACTAATAAAAGTTTATGTATCTCGTAAAAACCTAATGATATACACAATTTATGGTGAATGATTGTCATAACATATATCTACGGTGTCCCGTTAAGGCGAACAACACATAACTCGAAACAACGAAAACATTAAATTACGATAGTGCAAAGTCGAAATAACGTAACGTAATGGTTAAAAGTCAAAGGATCGATGATGAAAGATAGAAAAAAAATATTTAAAAGTCGAAATAACGAAACCACGATGTTGTAAACTTGATATAATTTCGTGTTTTCATCATCGTACTTTCGACCTTTTACTATCATGGGTTCGGAGTTTCTTTATTTCCAATTTTCACCATCTTATTTTCGGCTTTTTATCATCGTTTCTTCGACTTTTTTATCATCGTGGTGTCCACTTTCCACCATTGTACTTTCAACCTATCTTCATCGTGGATCCGACTTAACTTCATAGTAGTTTTTTCAGAACACAGATCTGAAGTATAACTTTAGAGTTAAATGTACTTCTGATTCAATTTCAAAAGATCATAAAGACATCGTACAGACTATTTTATAAAAACCCTTTAAATACGTAACTTCTTCAGAATCGGATGACATATTTATAAAGATTTCATTCAGTGCGCATGCTTAACATAAAGGCGAATTGAAATGGTGTAAAGAACGAAGGAACGATGGTGAAAAGCCGAAGGTACGATGGTGAAATTACGAGACTTTGACTTTTCACCATCGTGGTTTCGTTATTTTGAATTTTCACCATCGTATTTTTGTTGTTTTGAGTTATGTGTATGTGGCGGTTGACCTGAACACCTTTGATATCCAGTAAGATATTCCATTAAATAGTCTCTCCTTGACATCGGTAATAAGTAAAAGTGGCACTTTAATATTAGACACATTGTTAAGATATGCTCACCCTGATTTCCATTTACAAGACTTAAAAGGATATTTGTGTCCTCAATTCTCTTCGGCATACTGTGCGGACGTTTTATTAAACTTGTGCCTCTATTTGACAGACCAAAACATCTGACAATTGATTCAGAATATTCACTTTACATTGTACTTCAAACTTTCTTATTAACTAGGGATAATAATCTCATTTGCTTTAATGTCAAACAATCTACCCATGCATTTTTTATTCTAAACATTATGAATAACTAAAATGGAACAAGGATGTTATTGTAATTTCTGAATATTTCTAAATGCTCACTTATTGTTTTTGCACTAACTGATACAAAATGACATTCTGTTTTCACTCGCACTAAATTTTTTTAGTCATATTACCGTTGTAAAAGTATCAATATATTTTTGAAAACAAAAAAAATCAGATATAAAGCTAAATCACACGTCTTTCTTTTGAAACAATAGTGCACGTTGACAAGATAATGGCTAGATGTGACGCACATGATGGCCACATGTTGCGTGACAAGCATGTTTAAAAGTCAATTTCTTAGATAACAACTTATTTACTCCAATTTCATAAACTTTATATTCTTCACCATTATATGGCATTACAGGTCCTCGACATTGAAACTTTCTTTAACCATAAAGCTGTACAAGATATATATAAATCATGCAATTGAACTTACAGTGTACTTTATATTTGTAACAATTTGGCTGAAATTATGGTGTTCCGTTAGGAAACGAAGAAGTGATGGCCCCAACGGAACACCGTAGGATATTAGTCTTCTCTTGTAACATTTTGGGCGCATTATTTTTTTATATAACGTTAACATCATATGCAGTTCTATATTTTTTCACATATAAATATATTATCCATTTTAATGTGCCGTGATATGCCGATACTATGCCTAAGTAACACCTAATATATACTGTTTATCATACTGTGAATTTAAGTTCGACCGCTACAATATTTCTACTTTTGTAAATACAACTATAAATGTATGACATTAGGACAACTGTGAATAACAGAATATATCATTGGTTTCATAGGGGATTTGAAAATCCCAACCTTGGGGTGATCGGTTCAGCCGAGAACAAACCAGAAGTAAGAGATTGCTCGAGGGTTAAGGCTTCCCCAGTCCTCCAAATAACCTAGTGATTGATTATTTTTCTCACTTACCTGAACATATAGGAAACTACATAAAATATTCTACTGTTTAGGTACACAGACATTGTAATTTGCCTGTTCACAACTTTGATGGAGAAACGGGCGGGGCTTTTTAAGGCGTAAAATGTAAATTCGAACAATGAACAGTCAAACCTGTTCGAAACCAATGAGACTGATTTACGTCATAACGACAGCATTTTAAATATCCCTTTTACCGAAAATGAAATTTCTAATTCAATAAAAAAAGTGCAAAAATGGAAAAGCAGCTAGTAAGTCGGATAATATCTTTAACGAATATATTAAATCTACAGAGAACATTATGTTGCCAATATTTACGAAATTTTTTAACATTATTCTTGATACCGGAATTATTCCTAATAGTTGGTCTGAAGGCTATATTATACCAATTTTTAAAGGAAATACTGATTTACCGGAAAACTATAGGCCAATTACGATCCTGAGCTGTCTCGGAAAATTA